TCGTGATGAAGCACGGTGGTGGCAGCATCATGATGATGAAGCACGGCGGTGGCAGCGTCATGATGAAGCACGGTGGTGGCAGCATCATGATGTTTCTCTGCAGCAGGCCCTGGGTGCAGCAACATAAAACACTTCCCCTCAGCTTAGTTGTTGACCAGTCGACACTACTGAAGAAGCTCATGCTAAGTCTGGACTCTGAAGTCAGCTGGAAGAAGGCTCTTTGGTCTGATGAGACCAGGGTTGAGCTTTGCGGCCATCACACCAGACTTTCCAGCAGGACAACGAGCTGAGACAAACAGCCAAAGCTACACAGAAATGAGTTAAAGACGACCATCAGTGTTCTGGAGAGGCCGAATCAAAAAGGCTGTTCACCAACGATCCCCATGTCATCTGACAGAGCTTCAGTAACTCTTTGTTGATCTGTCCACACAGCACAGCACTGCAGTTAAGGGTGCATCTCCTAAATACTGACTTGAAGGGGGTGAATACTTATGCAATAACTAATTTTACATTATATGTTTTTATTCACCTGGCATCACTTTGTAGAGTTTCGTTTTCATTTTGAGTCTTTTCTTGTGAATTCTTGTCCAGAAGGCCCAGCTGACTTGAGCTCGATTTGATGTTGAAGAGCCATTAAAGGGGTTCACTTGTAAAAGGGATGAATCCTTTTTAAACACACAGTGATATGAAAACATGCAGGACTTTCTAACATGATGACTTGAATAACTCAGTTTGTAAAGAAACACTCGCTCCAGAATGAGTTGGTTTTGGCAGGAAGTGCATCTGCATCGAGAAGCAAAAAGAAAGCAGCTTGGAACCTTTCTCACATGGTGTAACACTTGCAAAGGCATCCAGAACTGTATTTGTTTTTTGCTTTGGGCGTCATTCAGATCTGGCATTGCACTTATTAAACAGAGAGTTTTGGTGCTGATTTAAGTGATCAAACAAATGTGTCTTTGTGTGTTGGCAGCTACAGCAAGATACTGCAAACAAGCGCCTTTTCTGGTCAACATGATCTGGTTTGTGCCCAAAATACTTCCACACAACTCATGTTGTGTTTATTTTTGCAACCAAACCTTCCGTTGTCGTGTTTCCGTGCTGTTCATCGCTCATTTTATTGTGCACGTGTGAAGCCTGCATGTCAACAAACTTTTCTTATTAAAGTCTATCTGTGTAGATAATGTTCCGTCTCGTAGACTTCTCTGGTAGATTAGTCACTGGTTCCCACACACTCAGTTTCACTGTGTGGGTTTTTATTTTGTAGCGAGCAGCAAAAAAGTTGTAGCACGATGTGTTTGAGTTACGCGGTCACAGTAACGTGTGCAGCACTAGTTTGCACTCTCGCCAGTTTCACTTTCAGGGCCGGACTCGCTCTGCAGGAGTCCTACTAGATTTTGACGTTGGGTTGCACCTTTAGGAGAAACTACACAGATGTTGATCGTGCTAATCTCAGTGATGCACACATAATAGTGTATCACACACTCAGGATATTGTTCGTCATTAGCATGTCAGGGTGAGCCAGCTTGGAGCAGAACACCAATTCTCGTGACCTCATGGGGAAACAGATGGAAACAGAAAGGAGACTGTGGTGCCACGACCTGCTGCAAGAACAATACCAAAAAGCAGAAGCAGAAACACGTCTGGATGAGAAAACTGTGGAGGAGATGTGGTTGAATTAATTGTTTATTCTTCAGAGAAAACTGGAGATGAGATTTTAACTGTGAGGTTTCATATCTGTGGCTAACGTTAGCATCTACGGCTAACATGATGATGGTAACCAACCCAACAAACATCAAACCTGGCTGACAGTATTGGGTCTGTGAGCAGTGCAGGAGGTTTAGGACTGGATCTGTGAACTCTTAATATGACCAAAGAGTTTGGGCCAAACATCCAAGAACAGTTTTCTCCTCCGATCGTTGGGATGGTGAAACTGGAGTGAATCGGTCCAAAACTCCTGTCATCCTCAAATTAGTTGTCAGCTACTGAATTCATCACCAACAAGTCTGAGCCATTGATCACCGTTTTCTTCACTTTGTAATTTGTAAAAAGTTGTGTGCTGGCTTTGTGCGATCATTTAATGATTGTGTCCACTTGGGAATCGTCATCATTAACGCATCACTTCAAACACCAGGCGAGAAACAACAATCCACTCATTAAGTACAAAACAGATGAATACGAAAAGAAAAACACCAAAAAAAGGTACAAAAAAGAGGAAAAACCATCAATATTATACTGGCAATGATTAATCAATAAGCTGTCAATGATTTCAATAAATAACAACAAATGTTTCTCTGATTTTCGCTCCATAACTGAATATGTTTGAGTTTCTTTCCTCCTCTGTGACAGTAAACTGAATATCTTTCTGCTGTGGATGAGACCAAGTTGTGAGTTTTGGGAAACTCTGATCAACAATTTTTATCATTTCCTGACATTTTGTGAAGCACACAAGTAAACCAGAAAACAGCAGATTAATCAGAAAAATGTAGTAGTTCTATTTGCCACCACAGATATGTGAGGATAATTTATATTCTCACGTGACATTCTGTGAAGCTGCCTTTCCTTTTTCGCTCCATCATCATGTAGTATTTTCATAATCAGCTCTGATTAACAACAATGAAGCGACCTTCTTCTGTGGAGCTGCAGCCTATAAATAAAACGGACTTCTCCCCCCACCAACCCCACCAACCTCCACCAGCCCCACCACACGGAGAAAGAAAAATCTTTTTTTTTTTTAGAAACCAGATTGAATGAATGTGGTTCACTGGTCGGCCACTTGGGCAGAGCCTGCAGTGGATTATTAGATTAATGTTGAATCTAAACCAGAAAACGACCAAAAACAAGATGATAAGGACCCATGAGGATCAATTGCAGCTGTGAATAATCAATCAATCAGTCAGGAAACATCCTGTACGAGGAGCAGCCATGACGTCACCACACAGCTCACATTTGAACATTTGTTGTTGCGCCTCTTTGTTGTCAATAAAGAACATTTTTGAAGGAAAAACCAGCAAGAAAACGCACAGAATGACCAGAAGGAAGAACTTTAAGGTGTTTTTTTTCTTCTCACAGTCAACAGTCGGCTATCGATGTGTGATCGGACATTTATTCATAAAAACATTTGTTCAATTACATTGTTTTATTTTTCCAACATTACATCGTTTTGGCAATCGATCATCAGAGGAAGGCATCCTGCTAACATGGACCCGCAGCCGGTGTCAGGAACATCAGTGTCGGTTCTCTGGTTGCGCCGTTTAAAAACCGAACTTCACGGAGACACCGGAGTGAGATATCAGCCTGAACGCACACACACACACACACGCACACACACACACACACACACACACCGGTATTGTAGAAAAATAGAGTGATCACCAATTGAATCCAGCTTCAACTGATTCAACACTTTTCCATACAAAAAAGGAAAAAAAAAAAATGAAGGAAACAAATCGCTGTGAGCAATCAATTAAGGTCAAGACAAGCACAATGTAACAGCCTTCAGGCTTCAACGTGACTTCCAAAACAGTCCTGAATGTCTTTACGCAAAGGAACAAATAAAAACAACATCATGTGCCATGTGTGAACATTTGATAGCAGCATCGGAATATTTTGCACTGTGGGTTGGACACTTAAGCAGAATGAGCAGCAGCAGCAGCAGCAGGCGGTTCAGCATCAGCTACACATGGAGCACCGCTGTTTGGGAATTCACCACATCGTTCCTGTATTGCTCCAGCCAGTTTCTGAGCTCAGAGATCCGATATCCCTCCGGGCCCCGGCCCCCCTGGTACACCACCCTCTCGTCCCTCACGATGTAAAGTCTCTCAAAGTAGGCTCCGTACGCGGCGTTGGACGAGTTGTCCATATTATCCACCACCACGTTGCTGCCCGGCACCTCGCTGAGCATCAGCTGAGCGGCTCTCAGTCTGTCCTCCAAGCAGCGGTGCTTGGGGATCTGGAACGGAGCGTCCGAGCTCACCCAGCCGTCCGACGGATGCGCCTCCTCGATATATACAACTAAAAAGTCCGCAATGTCCGCGTACTGACTCACGACGCGCTGAAACGCCGCCAGACGCGTCATGAATGGCGGTCAGGAGCAGCTGCCAAAGTTAAGAATGAGCGGTCTCTTCCCTTTCATACAGTCCAGGATCCGGACCTGCCTGCGCTCCTGGACCAGCACCACCTCGGTGTTGGGCGCAGCGTGGCCAAGGTGCGCGGATTTGAGAAAGTCCAGTTTCTGGCCGTACCACACGGCCCGGAGCGACTCCAAGGTGAACATCTTATTGGAGTCGGAGACGCACACCGGCGGGTCGTCCGAGCTGTCCTGTCGCTCTCCCATTTTCAGCAGCACTTTTTTCCGAATGCACAAGAAATCCAGGAGCCACAGCATGACGGCGGCCAGCAGGAACCGGGGCAGCAGCATCAGGCTCAGGGCTGCGTGCTTCAGCGCCCTCGCCATTTGGACTCCGCCGGTGTCGTCCATCATCTCTTCCCTCCTGCCGATAGGACGAGACTGAGCCGGCGAAAGAGGCAACTAGTATTTAGTCACCTTTACCCATTGGAGAAAACTATCTGACGCACGCAGGCGCTCTTTTTATAGGTAGGCAGCAGCATTTGAATAATGGAAAAAAAAAAAAAAAAAAAAAGGAAACGAAAGAACAGAAAGAAACTCCGGTACCCGCACCGCCCACTCACATGGTGGGGATTACCTCCCGTCAACTCTGGGCTTCAAAGATCCAGAGAGAGGAGGGGGGAGCCCGCAACAGCCTGGAGAACCGCGTCTTCGCGTGCACGCAGCACATGACACTTCATTTATGTTTATTTACATTGTTGCGGGACGCTCGCGCTGCCTCCAGTTGGCACATTTTTACGCACGGTCGCTTTGGGAAAGTCGGTAAAAAACATTTGGACTCGGTCGTGCCGGTGAACTCGGCTCTGTCCCTGCGCTCCGTGCAGGAGTCTGCGCAGCCACTGGAAGGCGCTGGACTCATACGGACTGTACACGATGTACCGGCTGGATGAGTCATTCACTGATCAGCCAGGGCCCCTGAGCACCTTGTGAGGAACAGAAGGCAGAATAAACCTGCTCCCACCAGTTTCAGACCTGAAACACATCCAGTAGAGGCTGATGAAGTTTTTCTAATCACTATTTTTTTTTTTAAATAAAGAAATCCATGTGTTGGACAGTTTTAAGGCCCATTATTATTATTATTAGGTGTTAATTCCTGTTCTTCAAAACCTCTTCTGTGTTTCTTTGACACCCTTCTAACCAAAAACGACCGGATTGTGTTTTGTTGTGCAGGTGGATATTAGAAAAAGGCTCTGGTGAGTTCAGACTGGTGACAAATTAAAGGAGAAACCTAAACAAGGTGTGAAAGTGTAAAACACTGTTGACCTGAACCTCTCTTCGGTGTTGGGTTGAGATCTGGTGACTGTCCAGGCATGTGATTCACGTCAGCGTGTGGGTTTTTTTTTTTTTTAGAAAAAATACCTAAAATCTCTACAGATGGGTGACAAATGAAGACAAAACCAACATAAAGTGCTGGTTCTGTGTTTGGGCACCACGGCCAGCAGAGCAGCTTCACAACTGCTTTGCATCGATTCTCCAAGACTGTAACTCACAGGAGCACCATTTTCCCACAAGATATTCTTTTATCTGAGGTTTTGAAGGTACAAGTGGAGAGCTCTGTGGACCAGAACCTCCCAGTTGGGTTGAAGTCTGGTGACTGTGAAGGCAGGAGCATGTTAGTCACATCGGAGCCAGATTTTTTTTTAGGGAAAATATTAAAAATTCATACAGATCGGTGACAAATTAAAGGAAAACAACAACATAAAGTGGCTGAGTAGTGTGTTTAGAGATCACGTCCCAGCAGAGCAGCTTTAGCACTCCGTCACGTTGATCTTCCAAAGTCTCTCTAATTAACTTGACACCGTTCTTCCAAAAGATGCTCCTTCATTTGATGTTTTCATGCTATTAGTTGAGATTGCAATGAACCAAAACCTCCCTCGCTGTTCAGTAAGGTCCGATCTGGTGACGGTTAAGGCCGCAGCATATTAGTCACGAAGTCCGATTTGTTTTTGTGGCCTTCGGTTGTGTCCGTATACCAATCTTCTCTTTCACATTCCAGGCCAGTAGGTGGTGGTAATGCACCTTCAGCTCCATCAGCAACATAAATTTGACCATATACATTAACAAAACAAAGCTCCATCGCCGTATTTCCTTCTGGAGTTGCATCGAGTCGCTGCGATTTGTCTGGGTTTTTTGCTGCACTTAACGTTGTGGTTGAAGCTGCTGGATCCTACACCACAAATTAAAAAGCTGATTGGCACCTCACAGCTTTGTATTGATCTGCAGTGAGCAAAGTGTGGGATCCTCTGACTGTAGGGCTCAAGAGTTCAGCTTTTTCCTTTAATTAGTCGCCCGTCTGTAGTTTTAAGTGACAGTCAATGCTAGCTTGAACTCATAAGTCTGATAATGTGTGTTGTAATGTGTCATTCACGGTTTTATCTCCTCACTCGAGCTTCTCGTCTTTTTATCAGGTAACTAAAGCTTACGTCAAATCAAATGTTGCATCTTTATTTTCTAGTTCATCCTTTCAGCAAAGCCGGTAAAACATAACAGTCTGATCTTAACCTCCACCCTCAGCGCAGCAAATCTTCAGCCTCACCTTGAAACTTTCCGCCTCGTCTCAGGCGTTGACGCGATGGCATCCATGTGACTGCTTGGATCCGTTCTCTGTGATGCCGTAACAATGCCAGCGTGTGTCCGACCGTCTTTTCCGTCCCCCTTTCCTCTGCGTGAGGCTCTGCTGCCTCTTTATTTCCCTCCCAGCCCTCATGTGGATCGGCTCCCCTGTGTGTTGTGTGTCATCCGGTTCCTCTGACAGAAATACACAATCCCTGGTAGAAACTGCCTCGTTACAATAGACATTTACATTTTTAATGAGCTGTATTGTCATCAAAGAGATGAAGAGAATAACGGAGTCACTGAGTGATGCTGATGCAAAAACAAGTATCGCAGTAAGGATAGCAAAATGCAGCGATGGAGGGGAGCGAGGAGCACAGAGGATTTCTGTAAGTCAGGAAGCAGAAGACTGTTTTTCTTTTTTTTATTTCCACTTTTGCAGAAAGAACGACACAAAATTTGCCAGTTCACACCTGTAGAGGCCCATAAACACACCGCGTTATAAAAACTAGCTGCAGCTTATTGTGTTTGGCACGAATAACAACTACAAGCTAGCAGGTGAAGCACAAGTCTGGACAAAGCCTCGTTTCAAAGTGACCCTCAGTGACTCTGATCTGTGATTCAGTGCAAAGCGCTGCAGCTTCTTGTGTTGTTTAATTGGAAAATGCTGCGCTGCTCGTTTGCTTCATGCTTTGTCCTGTAAACTCTCCTCATAAGTTCTATTAAATAAACTTTTCTTTTGTCATTAGCTGTAATTAGATAAGTTTGTCTGTTTCATGTTGAACTTCAGATCATGAGTTCTGCTGTTGACCAAATCAAGTTAAGCCGTTCAGAAACGTGGTTAGCACGTTTGCTCTGCCACCACATTCAAACCACTGACTGCTGCTGGGAAGCGCTGGGCAGACTCTGTTCATGCTACAGTCAGTGCACGCTGGTCTGCTGCACAGATGCTTGCATTGCCCAACATATCAGACCCAGACAAACACACGGGGCTCCTGAAGGTGTAGCGCAGCGTCAGTGATTATTGCACAGTGGGCGGACGTAGCACAGGATTCCTGGAGAATTTAGAACTTCCTGCTGGACAGCATGTTCAAATGAAAACACCTCTGAAGTCCGGCAGCAGCTACTTCCATCGCGGCTCTTTCGATGATGAATTGCAAACATGAGGGACCTCCTTGAGCAGCTGCTTGCCATAACAAACATTTGTCTGCACAGTCATCGAGGTTGCAGTGTGGACGCTCTGCGTGGTCATACATCTTCAGCTGGACGGCAGCGTCCACAGAGAGGTCTGATGGACGTGGTTTGTTAGTTGTTCTGTGCATTGTCTCTGTGTTTCATGACTTCTGTTACCTTCAGCCCAACCAGCTGAGGTCAACGGCTGCCTTCCCTGAGCATGGTTTTGCTGGAGTTTTCTCTTCCCACCGTAGCTGCTCAAAGAGAAACCAAAAGACACCTTGGATTTGATGGGTTCTCTCTCTCTTGAGACTATATAAGTTCTGAATTGTTGCTATATATATAAAAAAGGAAACTGAATCGATCTTGGGCAGATGATGGAATGCAGACATACAAGTTCATTCAGCAGACGCTTTTATCCAAAGATCACATTCATACACCAACGGCGACAGAGCTGCTGCCTCCCATTGGGACTGTGGAGGGATCGAACCACCAACCTTATGATTGGAGGACAACCCGCTGTACCACCTGAGCCACAGCTGCCTATGTACAGATGTACAGATGGAAAGAGCAAGGATTGGCCTTAACCTTTGTTGCAGACCAAGCACACCTCAAAACTGCTCAGGAACAGCTCGAGGAACATGACAAAGAGCGCAAGGTTTCACTCCCTATATCCAAATGTGATCAAACACCCATTAGATGTGCCAGAACAAGCTGGATCCACGGAGCCCTCAACTAGCAGACCCCAGAACCCAGAAGATGTGCTGCTAGCGTGGTGCTGTGTGACAGTGCAGGCCACCCAGGAGGCCTCATGTCAACATATCAGAGCTGTGTAGGACCGATAATACATTAAGCACATGGTGGACATTGCATAAAGGTAAACATTCCTTTTTTACAGACTAAAACAGCCCCTACAAGGCCATGGCGAGGAATGTTTCTGGATTAGCCTACTTTTGGTTCCCTCACAATATGCTTTACATTCCTCCTGCTCCATATAAACAGTTGTTGTTCCAGTTCACTTACTCAACCTCCCCGCAGACACTATGGAAAGGAGAGGTGATGTGACACTTTACGTGCCCATTATTCATCCTTAAAGGCCGACCCGTGACGGCATCCAGCTGCCGGTTGCGAGCGCAGCTGCCGAGGCTCTGGCCGACCGCGGCGGGTGAGCGTGAGGCTGGATGTGGTTATTGATAGGACTGGAGCTGCTGCTGCGGTTCAGTCTGCGGTGCTGTGGATGTGTCCAGCTGTCACCGTTTGAACCCGCTGTGCCTCTGTGACAGATGTTTTACCGACACGCCGCAGGAGAGCAGGAATACAACGCTCCAGCCGGCACGACGACCGCCGCACGCAGTCGGCAGTCAGTGTTACACCCATTAAAAATGAATGTGTCACAGCCATAATGTGACCATCTAAGCACAGCAGCGGCTCCGGTCACGGTGACAGATGTGTTATCAACACGCTGCAGTCATAATCACAGATACAGTGAGTCTGGGTGAGAGCTGAACCAGATCCTCCGTGGTGTTTTTTCTCTCTCTGAATGCTTGTGAGGCCCACCTGAGCAGCCACAGCTGACAGTGTACCGAGTCTCACTGTACCAGCAGCGCTCTACTACATTATACATGACACTGTATCATAGTACAGCTCGGCCTCTGTCTGTGGGTCAGAACAAACGCAATGTGAGA